GGCGCCCCCGTCTCCTCGGGTGGCGCGTCCGCGCCGCCCCCAACTCCCGGGCCGGGCCCACCGCGCCAGCTCGCGGGCTGGAAGAGGCTTGGGGCGGCGGGGGTCCAGGGCGGCTAGCACGGGGCCAGCCTCCAGGGGGTGGGAAGGGCGCCCGGCCGGGCCGGAGAGGAGGGGGCGCCCTGGAGTCCCTCGGGGGACCCTGCCCAGGGGAGCTCCACCCACCGCGAGGCCCTGGGCGACCCGGCCGCCTCCGCGGCCCTGGCTCATCCGCGTCCGGGACCGCGCGTACCTGTAAGAGCGAAGGCGAGCGGGCTTCTCTATGGCAGCTCCGTCGCCAGCCCACGAGAGCCGCTGCGCCCGAGACCCCGACGGGGCGACCTCCAGAGACCCCGCACACACGCCGGAAGGCTGCGCTTTTCGTACCCTGGCGAGGGGACATCGCATCGTGGACAAAAGCCCTCTAAAGGTCAATTTTGTGAATCTCAACTGGTAAGCAAGCCCCAACTTTGAAGCGTAGTTCTTTCTACTGGCCTTTCGGGAGCACAAATCACGACGTCGTTACGTTACCCGCGTAACCTCGTTGTGATCAACTTCAGATGCGCTTACCCGGAGTCGGCAGCGCGTACAACGTCGGCAAGTGCTCCTATGGAACAGGGCAAAACAGGAAGAGGAAAAAAGGACTACCTCTGTTCTAGCGAGAAATTTTAATTGTTTTCTGTTGGTCTGTATTGCCATTTACAATTTAAAATATTAAATGGCTAATCATTCGTGATTAAATATGAATTCTCGCAGTTTTTCCCCCTCACAACTGAGTCGCCCTTGTCCCTGCATAGGGCTGTAGCTTCAGACACGCAGACAGCATGGCAGAAAGTAAAGATTCTTTCACTCCCCGCCCCCAACCCCCTTTTCAAGGCGAAATTAAGTTTTGCAAGCATTTACAGAGTTCTCTGATTTATAAGGTCAGAAAAGTTCATCGTCCTTCCGTCAAGCTGTGGCTATTTTATAAAAGAAAAAAAAAAGCTTGATGTCAGATACATTCATCCTAGTATCTTTTTCTTCAGAAATTTTTCCAAATAAAACCACAGACACAAAGAAAGGAAAAGTAATTTTGAACGTGAAGTCAAGACCTACCCATGGTAACTCAGATGCCCAGCCATAGCGAAGTGGACAAGGGTTTCAAATGGATCAACCATACCTACTGTAATGTTTACAGTTGTGAAATTAAATCACACCACATTCCCATGAGGCAAGCGCAGCCCCGGCGAGGCCACGCCCCTCAGGACAGGACACCCTGGTGCAGAATTGCCCATGAGTCCCCTTGTGCAAGCAACAGAGGAGCAGGCAGGAGAGCACCCCCGTGTAGTGTTGGCAGGGCCTCGGTACACTGTTTCTCTTGTAGCAAGGATGAGAACATGTCAGAGATTGCATGTCACATTCTGGTCTTCCACACTGAATGCAAATGAAGATACACACCTCTAAGTACACACAACATGTAAAACAGTGCCCTGCTTCAGAAAACAATGCTTTGAAGATAACCAAAGCTGTTGGCTCCAGCCTGCCTGTCAGACATTTGACTCCAAGATAAATAATCTTACATCACTTGCAACTGGAATTTATTTCAAGACCCTTCAAATGAAATCGGTAATAGGGAGAGACATGTATTGGTACATATGTTCCCACAATTACAAGCTGTAAAATCGTTCTTCCTATAGAAATGCCTCCAACAGAAACATAATCTCATAATGCTTATTTGAAATATTTACACATTTATCCAACAAAGACATTTCCAGGATAATATGATCCTGACCTTGGCCTTTAGAAACATTTCATTCACATTCCTACAGCTAATGAGCCACAGAGTTTCAGATCTGAAGCCCTCACCTTCCTGTGTGGCTGGCTGTGATTTGTAATACACGTGTCCATTGTACGGCCCTCTTTAGCTCTTAACCCAGGGTGTATTACTGTTCTTTTTATTAACTCAAAGCTCTCACCAAACTTTGAAAGTAAAAATGAGAGGCTGTGTTTTTAAAAGCCACTCAAAATACAAATTTTTTATGGAATTCTGAGCCTCCAGCCAGCCAAATCAGCCAGGAATGAAAAGACCCACATGTTCCTTCAGCCATACCAAACTGGAGTCATGAATGATACATTTCAAGACAGAGTTTTTAACCCACCATATATTAAAACACAATTCCGGAGAAATAGAATACACAATTGAAATGCAGTAAGTACGCAGGAATAACCTCTTGGGTTTGGCTGCAGTCCTTCTGGAGTGCCTGCTACAGGGGAAGCACAGAAGCAAGCAACACCTTCTCCTTTGTACCAAGTACTCTGAAAAGCAGAGCCACTGCTCAAGGGAAGATAGTTAAGCAGGACAAAAAGTCCCGTATGAATGATGTATGTTAGGTGATAATCCCAACTCAAAGGATTCTCTTAAGTAATCTCTGAAAAACAAAGCATGGAGCATACCTCTAAATACACGCGGCCCATCTTGTCCCCCAGGGAGGGACAACCGCATACCCACGTGGTGTCCCCTCATGCTGGCTTAACACTGGAGCTGGCATTTAGTAGGAAGTAGACATTTCTATTCTGCTATGCTCCAAAACCCTGCTAAGAAAAGCCTGGCACACGTTGGCAGGTGTCTAGACTGAACCACCGTCAACAAGTGGGTGTCTGTATTCAGAGGCTAAACAAAGTAATGACCCTTTAGCTGAGCGTAGTTGGGTGGTCACTGCGCAGAGTCTGATCTTAGGGCCGGTCACTCTGAATCACACACAGCAGTGCTGTTGGTCTGACCCATGGACCAGCATGTGTAGGCCGCATCTGCAAGTGGTTCATAGGACAAAGATGTTTTCAAAGATCACTGATGCTTGTGACAATCATTTTGGTTCCCTCTATCCAGGCCATGGCCCCCTCTTGCTGTAGGACATGTGGCATCTTGCTAAGCGAGTTAATCAGTGAAAGGGATCAGTGAAAGGTTGATGCGGTCTCAGGCAGCTGGCTTCTGCTGAGTCCTGCCCCACCCCTGTACTGGGGTCTGTAGGAGTGGGACCATTCTGGCCAAGACAGCCAGGGACCAGGCTTCTTACAAGTCCAACAGCGTAAGCCCCGATGACTTCACTCTAACCGAGACCACTTGGAAAGGTAAGAGAAGGCATGAGCTTCCCACCTAGCTCACAGGAGCCAGGGGCTCATGAAGAATAGTTATGAATGGAGGAGCTCCACCAGGACACAGAATCAAAGGGAGGACAGGGAAACCCCTTATTTACGAGCACTGCGGGGGAGGGCACGAGCCTATTGATTTGGCCTGTCTATCCAATTCATGATTTTGAAACAAATACAGATGCGGAGCTAAATGTGCAGCGCCCATGAGGTGTTGCGAGGTAAGACGGATTGTGGTGGTGAGGTCCCTGCTCGCTGTGCACATACGGGCGCACAATCACACGCGCAGTCCTCACACTCGACCCCACTGGCCGAGTCCCCTTATGTGGCCTGGCGCCGTCCTGCAGAGTGGAGCCAGCAGGAGTGAGGCAGCCGCCGGATGGAGCGGACAGAGCGGCTCGCTGGCCCACTGACCTTTGCTCAGAAACCTACGCAGGTCTGTCCTGAAGGAACACGGCGTCCGACTGCCTGCTGAAAAGGCGTTGCCCTAGCGCTCTGCCCCCAACCCCCCCCCCCCCATGATGGGCAGCTGCAAATCCTTAGAGTGGCTCAGTGTAATTCAGTTTCGGATAGGAAAGATTTTGCAGTCATTCTGGGACGTGTGGAACCAGGCTTACATACACCTGTGAGGAAATTCAGAGGGCTGGCCTGTGTTTTGTAACCGTCACAACAAGGAAAAGGGTGAAGTTCACCCAGTCGGCAGAGGCAGGCAAGCTGCACGGGACAGGTGGGCAGTCGGTGCCTGGCCGAGAAGAAACCTGCCAAGGGAACAGGCGAACAGATCCAGGCCGGGACAGGAGGGGCCGCCAGCTTTGTGCTCCAGGAATGTCCTCATCCCAAGCCTCCAGCAGAAGAACAGGCCATTCAGGAAGCAATTGGTTGTTAATGAAGGGATTAAAGGACACACAAACGCAATCAGAACCTGGGATCTGGGCCCTGCTTTCACACTTGTCACTAGTCTGCTGTCTGTGTCACCTGGCCTGGTTGTGTCACCGCTGGGGCATCAGGCCCCTCCCCTGTGAAATAAGGGAGTGAGACCAGCCCCTTGGGGGCTTTTCAAGTGAGAGGTCCCAGGGACACGCCCAGGGGCAGCTTGGGACAGTCACCAGCCCTTCCTCTCTGCTGTGCTGGGTCTACTCACTTGTCCTGGTTCACTGAGCTCCGGGCTTCAGGGACTAGGCTGGGAGCGAGTGACCTTAGGCAAATCTGTCTCACCCCAGGTACAGGAAGAGTAGTGACCTGGAGGGTCCCTGGGAGGATTTAATTAGCACCACTTTAAAAGGACAGAGCGATTGTCTCTGCAGGGATTCTAAGGCAGGCTGAGGGCACCACCCTGCAGCCCTGAGTGGGAGAGTCCACAGCTGGCGTCGGACAGCCAGCCTTCACCAGAGACGGTTCACCTTATTCTCAGCAGAGCTCTGCTCAGCTTTCTACAGTTTTGGATCCCTGTGTGTACAGCAAGGAGCATTTATTAAACACCTGCTAAGGACTGGGGATAAATGGTTAAAAAAAATTAAATTACCCACAGGCTTAAGAGTCCTTGTGGGCAGGCAGCCTTGGCCTTTGTACATCGCTCTACCTGTAGGAGAGGAAGCGCTCATCCGCGGAGCGGCACCCAGCCACCTCTGGGCGCCTCCGCACGCGGGGACACGTGGAGGGGACAGAAAGGATCACGGCTGCAGTCTGCCCTGCAAGGGGCCTGCGACGCCCTAGCAGGAAAAGGAAGGTGATGCTGGCAGTGGAAGACAGACCCTGGGACACAAGCTCGGCTCCTGCCGGAAACACCCAGGCGACGCAGGCCGCGGAGAGAGAGCCGATTGGGTGCGAGGTTTGCCTGGTGAGACCAAGTGAGACCCTAGGGGTCAGACGGGGGCCTGTGCGAGGGGACATGGAGCGCAGGCAAGAGGATGGAGGGAGAAAAGGCACTCTGCGCCCAGGAGCTCTTGTAAGAGAGCTGCGGAGAGGGACCAGTCCAAAAGGCCACTGCTCCTGCTTCCCTCCCTCCACGCGCCTAGAAGAGGGCGCTTCGAACTCTACACGTACACGCAGACGCCTGCAGACTGATTGTGGGGGAAAGATCTGAGAGCAGAAAAGAGAACCATGCTTTAGAAAATATATCTTTTTTTGCAGCTTGCCTATTTCAGAGTCTTATTGTAAGAATTAATAGAGCACAGGGAGATGGCTCGGTAGAATAAGCTCTTGCCTGGCAAGTGCAGGGTCCTGAGTTCAATCCCCGGTACCACACACACACACACACACACACACACACAAATTAATAGTTTGATGGTCATGAAGGTAAATTACACCTAATAAAACACGTAGAGCCAAAGCGTTCCCCAGCACAGCACGCCGCGGAAGGATGAAACCAGAAATGGGCGTGATTCTGTGAGAGTGAAAAGTCCAGCAGAGCATGTGGGGATGGAGAAGATCAACCTAGCGTGGTTTGATTTTATATAGCATCCGTTTGGGTTCTGAAAATTGTCTGAGGGAGCGCTTTTCATGTACATGCTTTCTATGTAGGATTTTTTTTTAAAGCGTGATCTTAAAAATATATTTCCAAATAATGGAGAAAAGATACGCAGTTAGAGGTGGCGCTGCCTATTTTATCTATTTATTTTTTGTGTCCTGTGTGATCAAGATTGCAGGGTCCTGGAGGCTTCTCTGGTAACCCAAGTCTCAGCTAGGCGCATTCCCGGAGCAAAAGCTGGCATTATTTTGCTTTCACCCAGAAAATATCTTCCGGTTCAGTCAAGCAAAGTAATCAATTATTCTACATTATGAAATACTCATTTTATAACTATTGGCATTTCAGACAGGTGGGCCGCATGTCAATAGTGGTTCTGCTGCTCACGTTTAAGCCCGGGCTTGGAGGACGGGACGCACCTGGGCTGACAGTGTCTGATCAGAAGTCTGTTCTCCACTCCCAGAGGCCCGTCTATTATTTATGTCCAGTCCTGCACGCCGGCAGGGTGTTGTGAGCCCTGGAACAGGAACAGACTTGACTACGGATTTTCATTTTAATAAAAAAA